CTCTCCCTCTCCCTCTCGGTGCAACCAGGGATTGAGCTCAGGCCCTTGCGCCTGCTAGGGAAGCACTTATTCCACTGAGCTATCTCCCTGGCCCCTAGAGATTCGTTTCTGATAAAAAAGATCAGCTTTTTAGTGATAGTCCAAAGGAACTTGGGGGACTATATATGTGCCATCCTTGTGGTCTCCACGCCTGACTATAAAAATGCTGATTTCTAGGCAGAGAGTACAGCCTGTGCAAATGCTCTGGGCATTCAAATTGATTGATTTTGGGATGATTTCTTTCTTTTTCTCCCTTTTTTCCTCTTTCTTTCATTCTTTTGTTTTTGAGGCAAGATCTCACTGTGTAATACACAATGGCTTTGAATTAGTTCACTGTGTAGCCCAGGCTGACCTTGAACTTGTATCAGTCCTGCCTCAGCCTCCCAAGTGTTGGGATTACAGGCATATGCCACAGTGTCTGGCTAGTAAGCTGTTTTAGTTTCCCACTTGGCACCATACCAGTGGCAGGTTTGGGAGTGACTCTCTAGTCACTAGGGCACTGGTTGTGTTCTTATGCCATCAGGCCCTTCACAGCTCAGCCAAGGACTTAGAGGCACCCCCTGCCCAGGACAGAGGGGCTAAGCTAAGATGCACTCTTCAGGGAGGTGGAGAAGTGGGATCTGTGCCTGCCCTCAAGGAGAAGGTGCCACCAGGCTTCCAGGAGGACCAGAGAAAGCACAAAGTGCCTACCTAATATGCAATTGTAAAACGGGTGGGTGGGGGTAGGAGGTATTGGGACTTTAAGTAGGGCATGGTGGGGGCTTAGAAGATGGAATGAGGGGTCAGGGCCGCAAATCTCAAGTATGAGAGGTGTTCTGTGTGAGCTCCTCTTGTGTGAGCCAGAGTGACTGGAGCCTGGGGGGGGGGGGCGCTGAGGAGCAAGAGCGAAACTGACTAACCTGCTGGACAGCCAGAGAACGGGTTCTGACATCTCGGTGATTCCTGTCAAGCAGATGGATGGAGGGACGCTTGGACGAATGGAAAAACGGGTGGCTAGGGAGGTGACTGGATGGATGGATGAATGAATGAATAGCTGCGTGGGCGGCGAGCGGCCTGGAAAGGGGCGGGCCAGCAGACCGTTCAATCACAGCACAGGGCTAGGTGCCCGCCAGCTGCGCTTCTCAGAACCCCTCGCCCCAGCCCACCCGGGGCGCATAATTACGTGCCCCCAGGGCTGCAAAGCGGCTCCCCAGACTGAAGAAGACGGTGGCCTAGCGCCGTCGCGGAGTTTCACGTACTAGTCCTTTGCAGCGACGGCCACCCGCCCCTCTGCGGCGGTCTGGCCCTAAGGCCCCCATCTCCGCTCTTTGTCTTGGCCTGGTCCACGGCTGTTTCTGGGCCATGAGCCCCTTTCTCTGGGTAGCCCTTGCCGCTAGCTTCTGGGCTGATCCAGGATCTCCGCACGTCGGCTCCTTCGCCCTCCCCTGCCCACAGCCATCTCCTTGAGCTGAGCAGGGTCTCCCCAAACCCCGTGCCTCTAGGACCGCGGGGCCAGCAAGTGGCAGGGATCTCCAAGCTGCGTCTCTGGTGCGGCGAAGGAAGGCGTGGAATGAAAGGCTCCTTCTCTGCTTTTTCCATCCCCATTCCTGCCACCTAACTCGTCACTCTGTGCCCCGACCCTATCGCTGCCCATTCGCGCCTTAAGCGGCTCACGTGCTGTGGTGTGACCCCAATACCATGAGGACTAGCCACCACCAGCCCGGCGTTAGCCCGGCACTCAGAATACAGCGGCCCGCTGCCACAGACCACTGCTTGTGCCCAGCGAAATGATCCTGCTTAGGCGCGCTGGTCTTCCATATGCAGCCTCCAAGTCCCGTGTAACATCAGATCCACTCGCAAACAAACCCTCACGGGCACACAACGCCCACTGAACGCTTAGCCCCACGCAGGCACGATCCGTGTACACACACACACGATCCCACACAGGCGCAGTCCCACCCACGCAGTCACACTACCCCCTATAAACAATCGCACACAAACACACCACCCCACGCAGGAACCGCGTCACTCAGTCCCGCCGAGACCCAAAAGCACATTCACAAGCTCGTATCCAGACACCCCCACCTCCACGAGCCCCATGACATTCACACGTAGGGCAAACCAGAAATATATATAGCCACATTGATACACGGACCTAAACACACAGCCGATAGCTCACCCGCGGGCTCATAAGTCACTTGAAAAATATTAAAGCGCCCTCTCCTTCGCCTTCTATCTTTAACACGCGCGCTCTCTCTCACACTCATCCCCCCCCCACCCGTTCCTAAGCGCTTCGAAGCCTGAAGCCGGTGACCCCGAGCCCCAGCGGTGGGAACCGCGGGAGCGTCTCCCAGGCGCCCCCTCCTCCCGCTCCCTTAGCTAGCTCAACGCTCCTGCCCCTCCTCCTCCTTCCCTGCCCCCTCCTCCTCGTCCCCTCCCCCGCGTCTGGGGCGCGGGCTGCGCGCAGCCAAACCCCCTCGTCGCGCGCCCCTCCCCGCGCGCGCCCCGTGCCCGCATCGCGCTCACGGAGTGGATGCGGCCACCCGGCCGTCTCTAATTACCTCCTGTCCCCCGGCGGCCCGTGAATAATGGCTACTGAGGGCGCTTGCAGGGGCTGCTGAGAAGGAAACGCGGGTGCGAGAGGCGCGGTGCGTGCGGAAGCGCGAGGAAAAGGAGCAAACCTGGGGCTGCCGCGAGCGGCAGGCAGAGAGAAAGGAATCGTGCGAGCGCTTACATTTTTTTCCTCCCAAGGATTTCATCTGGCCGTCGCGTTCTGGAAGAGGCCAGGGGGAGAGCGCGCGCGCAAGGAGGACGGGAGACGGCGGGGAAAGGGAGACAGCGAGACGCGCAGTGCCGGCGCCCCGGAGACCCAGGAGGAGCCCGCAGGTATTGTTGGCAGCGGAGCTTTGTGTCCTCAGCGGGCCATTCCCAGCGCGGGGGACTGCCCGAGTCCCCAGCTCACCGCGGCGCTCTGACCTGCCCCTAGCCCGGGGCTGTCAGTGGGGGTCATCGCCTGCCGTGGGTACCCCTCCCGCAGCGCCGCGATCAAGGCTGGAGTTGCACATTTGCCTGTTAGGGGGTTTTTCACGTCGGTGGAGGAATTAGTCTTAGAAGCAGAAATTTCTTTTGCTTTTTTCCCCTCCTGACCGCAGTTTGGTTGTGCCGGGGATTCCCCCCTCCCTTTCCTTCTACAGTGCTTTGGTGAGTGGTGTTGGCGACTGTGGCGCTGGCGGCAGGCTTAGGGCTGAGATGGCGGGGCTGTTGGCCACGGCTCAGGAGGTGAGGGATGCCGAAGGAAGGAGTTCTGTTCAAGTTCGCCATTTGCGCCTGGAGCTCGTCTGCCTGGGGTGGGCGGTCCGTGCAACCGGTCCTGCCCTGGGCAACCAGTGGGAAACTTCCCGGGAGGGCCGCCTCCCGGCGGACTCTCTGTGCCCCAACGCCTCCGGGTGCTGCCTCGGGCTGAGGGTAGCCCCTCCTTGCCGCCCTCCAGCGCTTAAGGTCGCGCACTCCCCACCCCCGCCTTCCTCCATGGGCTGTTGGTTTCCGGATCTGGACAGAGCTGCTTCAAACACTTCCCCTGGAGACCCCTCCCCACTCCTTGCATGGAGTCGGCCCTGGGAGCCCCCCCACCTCCACCCCCACTCCCACCCCCACCCCTCCCGCCCTGGTCTGGTCGCGGTCTTACACGCTGCCGAGTGGCCAAGCTGACAATGAAATTTCGTGTCTCTGCCGGAAGGGGGAGGGGGTCATAGCTGAGTCTCTCCAGAGGCTGCTGACCCTAGCCGTGGCCCCGAGGCCGGGGAAGGGGGGTCCTCTTAGGGAGAGGGAACTGTTTGGTTGCAGACTTTGACGTGGGTTGGTGCGGGGTGGGAGTGGACGGGTGGGGGGTCGCGCGGCGGAAGCAAGGGTCTGGGGTTTGCAGCCAGAGGTCCTAGATTCTAGCCACTCTTTGGCAAGGCTATTGGCTGATGCTTTCGGGCACGGTGAGGGCTCTTCTCACCTCAGCCTCCTCCCTTCCAGTACACTGCGGGCTAAGAGGTGATCCCGAGGGTGATGTGCTTATGTGACGAAGTGTTTGTCTCCTTCGATCCTCAGCAGACACTGTGGACGCTCTGGTGACCCAGAGATCAGAATGCCAGGCCCCAGGGGGAGGTCAGATAATGCAGACGGGAGTGGTGGGAACCTCTTTTCCCATAGGGACCTGTGAAGAGAGGCCAGCCCAGAGAATATCTGGGGACCGCAGTATTGGGGGGGTGGCTCAGTCCTAAAGGGGCTCTGCTGGATCAGAGTCTTCCTGGCACTCAGAGCTCCCAATCCCTTTGCTCTTTTGGGGGTGACAGAGAGGAGGTATGGAAGAGGTGTTGGGCTATCCCTGGGGGGGGGGGTGGTAATAGTGGCTGGAGAACCCAAGAAAATCAGCCTTAATTAATTGAATTCCCAGGGAAGCAGCCCAGGGGCATAAAGGTGCTTCCCCTTTACCTTTGTGGGGAGGGAGCCAGGTCCAAGTTGGCAACCCACACATGTGAAAGCCATTTTTCTCCCTACCCAAAGAGAGGCTTCCTGGGGAAAAGAGAGGTACCTTTAAAGACAAGGGACTGGACTGTTTCCAGACTGTTCTGTCACTGAGTCCAGGAATAGAAAGAGTTAACCCTCCCCCAGAAATCTGTCACACACACACACAAACACACACACACACACACACCCGCACAGCAAGGACATGATGTTGAGTCCTCTGACATGCTAACAGCATGACCCTGGCTGACAAGGGTGAGCAGACTGCACACCCTGTAAACCCCTTTTGCAGCAGGACAGGACTTGGCAAGGTGGTGAGTGGTGACTTGTTAGGGACCTTGGAGGGTCACACAGCTGGGCCATAGCCTTGTTGCCCAGAGGGAAAAAGATTACCAGTCAAGGCCATTGGGAATTGGAGGCTGTATTGGTGGAGGTTAGGAAAGAGGGAAGGCCCTCCTATCCTTTTTCAACATGGAAAGGCTCCTGAAATAGGTGCTTCTTGCTCTAACCTTGCCCTCCACCCCCAAGGCCTGACCTGAAGGCCAGCCCAGGTTAGCAGCTGTAAGTGGCCTGGATGAGAGCACCTACCTAGAGCAGGGCCAGATCTGATAGGCCCTACTGCTGCTCATTCCTTGACCCTGTGGCACAACCCCCTGAGTGTAGAGTTAGTTGTAGGGCTGCTTTCCCTGCCTCTGGCTGTGACTTCTATTTCTTTTGAGTAAAAACTATTCCCTTAAAACTCCATAATGAGGCACATTACAGAAACACAATGCCCTGTTTGGCTGGACAAATGGGAGTGAAGGGCTTAGTAATGAGTGAATGAATGAATGAGTGAATGAATGAAAGAAGAAAGTTTCTCAATTGGAGGCCGCTAGTCATAGTTTTAAAGGCTTTCATTATGTACATTTTAAAGTACGATTCACAGAAAATCTGAAAAATGGAGAAAAACAAACAAAAAAGGTTATTGACAGTCTTCAGGCTCTGACAACGCTAGCGTTTTGATGGAGTTCTTCCCAGGCCTGTGCGACTTGGTGGTTGGTCGGTTTTTTAAAGGCTTTGTCGTCATCCCCTATATTCAGATGTATATCCTGCTTTTTCTTTTCTTTTTGCTGGTGACAACGCCAGCCTTTTCCTGTTTTGTAACCAGTGCTTTATAAACATGGCAGTTAATGTCTCCAGGCTTTTCCAGTCAAGTGGATGTACCATAATTTACTTAATATTCCCCTTTTGTTCAATGTTCTTCATGTTTCTGATGAGTGATGTAGTGGATGTATTTTGTTCAGAGAGCTTTTTCTGATGTTTAAGATGATTTCCTCAAAATGACGCTGCTGGTGCCGAAGGCTCTGACATGCCTGCAGTGAAAGGAAAGGATTCCCATATTTCTCCTTGAATAAGTGGGACACTGTTCTCCTTCCTTCCTTACAATCTGGAAACTTCCACTAGAGCTTGGTGATGAATCACTTGTCTGACCTCCCTTCTTTGACAGAGGAGAAAACCAGAGCCCAGAGAGGGGAAGTGAGCCCCAAGGTCACACAGCAGTTGTTCAACTGTGCAGCAGCCAAGAAGTGGTTGCTGATCTGCCATTTTGGTTTTCACCTCTGAAAAAGGACCCTGGAGGTACTCTGGGCCAAATGTGTCCATTTCACAGATGGAAGAACCGAGATCCCGAATGAGAAGCACTCAGCCTGCCCCTAGCGTTACCCATTGGTGCATCAGAGATAGGCTTCTAGGCCCATCTGTGTGGCACGCTGCCCTGTTCCTGGATCCAGGCAACAGCACCCGCCATGAACTTCCTGTTAGGCCTCTCACTTTCTTCTGTGCCATCCCACTTTCCAGAAAGAAAAGCAGAGGATCCAAAGCAGGTACATGAGAGGTAAGACTGCAGATTTCAAGGAACTCCGGAGGTGGCTGTGGCTCTCTCCTGTGCAGTTTCCTTGTCCAGAGGCTGAGCTTAGCATCTGCTCAGGAGCCAGGGCCAGGGGTTGGAGCAGGTCAGGTGTAAGGGTGGGGGTGGGTAAGGACAGGAAACATCTCAAGTGTTCCCTCTGGCCTTCAGTTGACCCTGGAAGCTTCTTTTGGAGAATGGGACAAGGCAAGAAAGGAGAAGTTGGGATACAGATTTCATGAAAACATGGGGTTGGAACTGTGGGAAGGAAGCTTGAAAGGAAGAAAATAGAAGCAAGAAAAAGTAGGAAAAGAAAAGAAAGGACTTAGGTGAAATGCAGAAAGAGGAAGACCCTCCTCCTCAGGCCTCATCAAACACTCAGGAGAGGCCATCTCGTTGGAGAGGCCATCAAACACACAGCACAACTGGTGGATCCTGCACCCCTGGCTGGGTTCTGTAGGACTCAGTGTAATAGCTGTTTGGGGCCCAGAGATGGGAGGTATCTAGATGTCAGAAGGACCCAGACTGAGTCAATGTCATACATGACTTCGGTAGTGGCTTCCATCTTCATGGAGTGCATAGGGGGCAGTAGGAGGGCAGCCCCAGTTCTGGGACTTAGGGATGCTCATAGTGTGTGGGCTGACTGTGCCTCTGAAAATACTCACCCAAGCACAGCCTTTATTCAAAACCCTTCCATATAAGCATGCCATCCCTCGAGGTTAGGAGGAGCCCTGCTGTGGGTGTTTGGATGTTTCTGTGGGCGAGAGCTTATCCATGTGTGTGTGCGTGCGTGCGTGCGTGCGTGTGTGTGTGTGTGTGTGTGTGTGTGTTTGCTCATCTCTGGGTGTCCCTGTTGTGTGTGTGTGTGTGGGGGGGTGTTTCTGTGTGCCTCTCGTCCTGTCTGTGTATTTCTTTGGAGAGGTGTGCCTCCCGGCTTAAGCACATGCATCCATGTATGACTGTGCATGTGTGTGTATGTGTGGATCTGAGCGAGTCTGTCCTGTGTGTGCCCTGTGTATGAGTGCAAACCCATGTCTGTGAACCTCTGATCCCATGTGTGCAGTTTGGGGGGTATGCCTTCAGCTCCAGCACATGTGTGTGTTGGTATGAGCACACACTTTCCTCCTAGTGGCCCCAGGGGGGATCCAGGCATCAGGCTTTTGTGCTTTTCTCAAGGTTGCCAGTATGTGTGTGTGGGGTGTTGACTGGTGGGGGGAGCTGGAGGAGGGTAAAGAAAATCTTAAAAGACCATCTTCCCTGTGGTCTCCAAGGAGATCAGCCTGTGAAATGATCCGCACGTTAATTAAAAACGATTATATCCTGATTGAGCCATTCCTGCTCACATCCCCAGCCAGGGAGACGATGAGGCAGAGACCAGGGGATGCAGGATGCTCAGGGTCTGCTTGCAGACACAGCCAGGTCAGGTGCTCACAAAGAAAGCAGAGGCTTGGAGAGGTACGTGATTGTCAGATTTGAGCTTCTCCTTTGA